TTCCAATTTAAAATTGTGAAATTTTCAATTTGAAACCGCGCAATTTTTTCAAATGAGAATGCATTTTTTGTCACAATGCATTTTTTGTGACGAAAAATCGTGTTTGATTTCCAATACACAAAATAAAATGCAAAAAATGTTTGGATTTCAATCGGAAATTTTCTGTAAGTTGAATACCGAATTGTTACACAATACACAATATCAAAAATTGGTTATAAGCATTAAAAATGTGGATCCATTCTGAAAATCACAGGCCCGATTCTCGATTTGAGCATGAATAATATCACATTTGGCGGCAACGCACAGTTTGGGTAAAAAGTCCTTCATTCGTGTATAAAGTGATTCGTTATTATAATATGCATGCATTTAAGCCGCAATTGTGGTTTTCGCCTGACTGGAAACACACACGCACACACTTTTTTCCATCGACCATCGACCAAATTCCACAAAGAAAAACCCTTCGGTTAAGCGTGGGCAGATGAATAATTTCGTTTTCAATTACGTCTGCTGTGTTATAATGGCTGAAGCAATCATGGAAACGCTTTTGATGCGGTTGCGTATGCTCAAAATTAAAGCGCAAATTCGTATTTGTAGTTTTTTTTCTTTCTCCCTTCAACGAAGGGTTTTTTTTCCACCCCGGGTCCTTGTCCGAATAACGTTTTTTTCTCATTCCCAGCGTCGAATCAGTTCATATAATACCAAATGTAATCAAATGAAATAAATGAGAATATGTTTTTGTGTGCGGTAACCGCTTGTGTGTGTGTGTGTGTGTGCGCGCGCCTTTCACAGTCATTTATATTGATAAAGCGAATGGTTAAACGAATTTAATGAGAGAAGAGTAAAAGCGAAAGGAAAACTAAAAGAGAGCGGAAAAAGTGCCAAAAAGAGCACATTGAAGGGAATAACGAGGCACACGAGCAAATAAATTAATTGGAGTGCACAAAGTGATCTTTGGGTTGTGTTTAACGAATCAAAAACCGGGGTTTCCAGCCGGCCATTCGATTTAGCCAAATGATGTATTTGATGCCGTTTTTTCGGTTGCCACTCAACCATAATTTCAATAATTTCATTTCAACTTTTACAAGAGTAATTTAAAAAGTTAAAACGATTTTTTGATTATTTGCCGGGCAACATTTCACAGTAACCATGCTCTCTTATCAGCCTTCATCGGCACACTACTTCGTTCTATCTTACATTATAGTAGTTGAAGGCAAGGAAAACCCACGAAAACCTCACAAGAAGTATTTTACGAGTATTTTTTTTTTTCAATTCATTTTACATTCACCATTACGGCAATGTTGATTTTTGACCATTTTTGGCGTTAGCAGAAGCCAAAATAGAGATAAAATCATGTTATGACTACTTTGGCATAAATCTTTGGCTTGCAACATTCAAAATATCACATTCTAACGTACATTTTGAAATTGTTTTCGGGTAAGAAAGAAAAAAGTTGGAAAATCGGTCAAAATCAGATTTCCGCACTCATTTTTTTTTTTTGAAACTTTTTGCTGGCAAAAAGGGAAAAAGTCTAAATTCCAATCACGGTTTCGGGGTGTGATTCGTGGATTCCAGTTATATATACATCGGCGCTACCCTTGCCTTTGATACCGAATTAAAACAAAAGAAAAACTTTCGTCTCATTATGCATTGTTATTACATTGTGAACATTTGCTGTGTATTTTATGGCGTCGAAACTTCAAATAGACCGCAATGTTCGCGATACTAACGAAATACCAGGGCTGATTTTATTACATGTACAGCCTGGACAGTGGATGCATGCACACTTCCGAAGCGGACAGCCCCATCGGTTGATAAAAACAGTAAACAAACCCGTAAAAGTTTTCCGTATTTGCTTTTGTTTTTCCCATTTTTTTCATCTCCGGTTTCTTAAGATACTCTCGCATGCTATCTCTTTATTTCTCTCATGCTTTGGACCGAAGTTCCAAACTTTTACCAAACACATGCATTCATTGCAGAGTCATACTTGAGTCTAGTCAAGTCCTTCGGGTTGTGTCTTTGCCGTCGTTTTATTCACGTTCACATACAAATCGAGCGTTGCGCTAAATACAATTCGTGTGTAACTAAGGAAATACGTAAGTGGTGGAGCTAAAGTTTGATGGTGTGTTCGGTGGGTTCATGATGACGTCGTTCACAACGACGACAATAACTGCAAAAGCCAACTGAAGAAAAGACGAAGAAAAAAATATATGAACTCCACGATGAAGAAACTTTCAACGAAATAAAATACTATGTTAGAACAACACCAGCGGTCATAGCAATAAATAATATTGTGTAAGCTTCTGAGTCGTTTTTTTTTCTTCTGCTCTCTCTCTCTCTCTCTCTCTATCGCTCACTCACTAAATCCCCAAGGCATAAAATGCAGCATTTTTTCATTCGTTTTTTTTCTGTTCTCTATTCCATAATAATGTAGCGTGAATGATAGAAAACGCTGCAAGCAAATGGACGGGAAAGACGAGAAAAAAATGGTCCTGAATCATAAATGTATGAAAATCGCCGAAGCACAAAAAACAACCACCAAATGTGAGTCGTACAAAAAACCATTGGAAAAATGGACTTGAAGCAAACAGTGCGGAGGAAGTAAATGAGTACTTACATCGAAAAGATGTTGCTGGCTTTTGCTTGAGGATGGAAAAACGATTTGAAACTTTTGCACCAGCATTCTGATGATATAATTTGATTTACAACGTTTGAATGGTGTTGACAATGGAAATGTGCAACCAGCGTTCAACATGTCCAAAATCTGGGAACGAGAGGGACGATGATAAACACTTACGGATGGCTGAAGTGGAAGAAGGGTTGCAATTTCTCCCGTAAAAAGAGATTCTTTTAACTGAAATTTCAACGTTAATTTGACAAATTTTGGTTTTCTTCAAAACGATTGGCCTACGCCTTGAGAAATAATGAAAAACTTTGCTCAATGGTATGTAGTAGACTAACCGTGATTACATTTCATTTCAAAAATCCGATCCAAAGGTATAAAATGTCAAGCTATTTTTGCTCATTTACTCATTTCAAACAACATCGTTACTGGGAAAAGGAATCGTGATCCATATTCTAAATTCTCTCATCACGGGATCGTTTCAGGTAACAATATTTATTAACATCGATGATGAAAAAAGACATGCAAACAGAGAGCGCAAAATAACGCAAAGCATGTATACGGTTATTGGAAAATAATGATAACGACTTCAATCGAAAAAGTGTAGAGAGCAAAAAATCGTCTCGCACAAAATTCATTCAACCTTTCATTCTTCGCTTTGCCAGGACCATGCATCGCAACACAATATAATGTAGGTATTTGATAAAATTTTGCTAGTGTTTTATTATTCTGTTTCGAAGGGAAAATAAAAGAAAATTTAAAATGAAAGGAAATTCAACTTGGATAAAGACTTGAGAAGGTACATGATGCTAAACTCAAAATGGATTTTCCAGAGGAGAAAAGAGCAAGCAAACAAAATGGCTCCTTTTTCATAGATACATGTAACAGAATCAAAGCGTAATTGTGAATCTTATTTGTTTCATCTCTTGTGATAACGAATTCAGCACAGCCTTAATTTTCTCTTTTTTAAATTGTATTTTAAGCGAGCGCATTTTCTCTAGGTAAGTAAACAATAAATTGGGTGCGATTTTTTTTTCTTCGTCTTTTTCCATTCCTTTCGTCTTTCCGTTTTTGTGTCGGGCCAAATGAATCGTTGATGAACAATTAGGCTGTGCCGGAATCAAGTCATTTTTTTTTTCAATATATAAAATTTTGTGTCGAAAATTTGTTTCGTGCACCTTCCGTGAAGTAGGCAAATCGTCTAAAATGAAATGGGATTTATGATAAATCATTTATGTCTCTCTTCTCTTCGCTCTGACTCAATAAGCATTTTTTTAATGAATTTGTTTCTTCTTTTGCATGTTCACAGTAAACAGGACAAACAAACTGTCGAAACGAAAACATTTTTCCCGAGAAAAATAAAATAAGTGATTCAAAAATTGCTGTAAGCAATACAAAGCAGGAATTTCCCAATTATGGCCCGTTCCGGTTCAATGAATCGTTTTCCAAGCAAGTATTTATTTCATTCACTTGGATTATTATTATCATGAAATGTTTCAAAATCAGTTCATTCGACGTGAGTACATCACGCATTTGTTTAGCTGGTGCCAATAGTGGTAGCTATAAAATATGACATTTCATGACAGCGCCATGAATAAAAACCATAAATTAAATAATTTGACATATTGTTTGGATTTTATGTGGTGGTGAGTTTTGAGCGACAATTTATATTTGCTATCGCCGTTCGTTCGTACAACGAACGCCATTTGATATACCAAAATGTAATAGTTCTGAGCTGTTTCTCTCTCTCTCTCTCTATCTGCCATTTCCTCTTTTTCGAAAAGTCACGTGCATCGGTGCCAATCGAGATAAACATCGCAAGCTCGTTCACTTGTCTAAGATTGATGAGATTCCGCCCGAAAACAGCGGAGTCCTTTAGGTAATCAAGTGCTGTGACGTAGTTACCATGAGTGGATAGAGAGTTACATATATTCACTTGAGCTCACGTATATGTCAGGCCATACCAATGTCTGTGCCATTTAGATTGTGACCCAAAAGCATTTAGCAAATAAAATATGATACCATCTACTTTGGAAAATTGTCGCTGACTGATGAATTGCAAAACAAAACGTGTATATATCGTGAGTAGCGTGTGGAATGGGCTGAATGTTTGAAAAAAATTGGGACTTAGGCATGGAAATAGCAGCAATTTCATGAAATGCACAGCCGATTTAAAACAAAATGAAGCTATTTCGTCGTGAAATCAAAGGATTTTCGATTTTACGGGTATTTCGGAGGGCTACGGTTTATTAGCGACCCGAATCCACCCACACACATTCGAAATTCGTTCGTTCGCTCTTTTTTCTTCCCTTCAAAGAGGCCTTTTTACTCCACTTAAGCTAAAACCGTGACTAAATATTCAATTTAAATCATTACTTACTGTTCAGTGCATACTGACGAATGTCTAGATGATGCGCATTAACGATGCTCGATTCCAAATTCGGATTCAGCCAAATAGAAACAAGGAGAAGAAGAACAGAAAAACAGAGATATACCCCCTGTCTCTCTATCTCTCTCTCTCTCTTTTTTTTACTTTATTTGTCTGTGTAATTGCTCCGGTTCCCTTTTTCACGATTGACGTAATTTAGTTCGATTTCATTATAACTTTCTCTCATGCATAAAATACTTGTCGATGTGCTGCTGATGCTGCTGTGTGTTTTTTTTTCAACTCTCTTTTCGAAATCAGCCTAAGCGTCACCGTTTGCCGAACGGAAGATTGAGCGCAAAAAAAAACAATAAAAAAAAACTAGTGGAACAATCGATTTAAATTGGAACGTGCACTGTTTTGAACACAGAAGAGCAATTAAAATTACCAGCACCCGCGTTCAACAGCAGCTGAGTCTGTTGCCGACGTTGATGCACAGCACAAGCACATATACATACACACTGAATCACACACACAAAAAAAGAAATCAATAAAAAAATTTCGATAATCGTTGAGTCCATCAATTAGTCACACATGGCTGAATATTCCTTTGTCCCTTTTTTTCATTCAGTTGCTGGAGTTTTTCTTTCGTGTGCGGTCGTTTTGAAATGTCGAAAATACACAGACGAACGCAGACACACGTAGACTCGGTGCAGATACTTTTTTAGATGGTGTTTGTGTTTGTTCACTGAAAACAGCGGTCTATGAGCATTGAAAACTCTAACAAATCCGATTTCATCTTTCTTTCGATTGAATAGAAAAATCACAAAATCAACACGTCACTCATGAACTTTTCTTAGTGGGTTTCTCTCATTTTGCACTCATTTTTTTCGTTGTTGTTGCTGTTGTTTTTGTTACCGTGTTGTTGCTCTGGCGTGGGCACTTGTTTTTCATTCCATTCAGTGCCACTGCACGCAACATAAACAGTAAATCTTAAGCACCACAGTTTGTTTGAACAAAACGAAATCCCCTCATTTATTCCATTGATTTTATTTGCAAAAGTGGCCACTTGTTTGTTGAATCGCGATTAACTTAATCACACCGCAAATCTCCTTTTTTTCTAACGAGATTTCTTATTCGATACGCACGAGGAAACGTACCGTTTTTTATTTCTCAATCGCCGTCGTATTTTTTTTTTTCGACGATTATTTTTCTCTTTTGCTCGTTTTGCAAATGTTTCCGTTTTTATATGCTCGGCATAAAAATGATAATTATTTGCGTTTCATTAACGAGAAATGTGGAAGTAAATGTATATAAATACTTATTTTTGTAACGATACACACGTTGAACCACGATTTGTTTGGCTTAAAATACTACACACGGAATTGCATGGAATATGTTAATGGTAGATCGTAAATGTATTCGGTGCGGTACGATTTATTGGTCCTATTTCAAGTAGATAAACAATAATCGAGGAGAGAGACGAGGCGATTTTTGCTCGTGATTGGCGATAAGCGGGTCTTAACTACAACCAAAGTAAATCCGTTGGGATTATCATGCGTGAAGTACACCTGTTCGAATGAACAAGAGTGAATCTGAGATTGCTGCTTTTTTTCTCCACTCTATCCGTTCTCTCTCTTTTTTCCGCGTCTGTGATTCAAGCTTTGTCCATTACATGCGGCACGTAAATCATTGTACCTCAAGCAAAAAAGTGATATGCCATTCTATTTATCGAACGATGCGATTGTTCCTTTAGCGTTGTTGCGATTTGCTTACGTTGTGCAAAGCATTCAAATTCATAGGCATGAAATAAATCGAATCGTGTATTCACTGACCGTTCGCAACGTGCTGCTTGTGTTTTTATTTCATTTCACTTGAGCTTAGTTGGTGTGTTTTTTCTTTCTTCTAGTTCGTTGTTTTACTTCACTTCAACTGGATTTGCGGATGCTGAACAACGCGGTGTACGGTTGAATGTAACAGAAAATTTATTTCAGCCGTAAATTCTAGGCTGGATGAGAATGAGAAAAACGAAACCTCATTCAATGTGCGGTCTACGACTTTTTTTCCCCATTCATTCGTTCATTACAACTTTAAATCGCAACCATCCAACCTCATTTTTTTCCCTTTATTCTTGAAGCGAATAGAACCAAATCCAGAAAAAAAACACCATGAACTAGAATTTCAAAATCGCGGTTAATAGATTACTGTCTGTGCGGATGATTTCCATTCCACCTGGACACACTTGCTGCAGATATTCGTTTGAAATTTCTTTTTTTTATTTGGAAAACTCACAAGATTTTTTACACTCGTATTTTGCCTCGTTCGTTAAAACCTTACACAACTTCCGGTTTGCTTTTCGTTCGCAAAAAGAAATGATGACCACGAAATCTCTGTGAGTAGAGTAGATTTATTTCGCGCGCGCGACACACACGATTACTAGTCGACGGAGCGGTTACGTTACATCACCGATTTTCTACTTCGAACTGAACAGATGTGTGTCATCGGCATCGACTAGATGCATGGCCATGGAAAATCAACGGCTGGAAATATCGGGATGCGAGTAGAGGGTATAGCACATTCACCAGCTATGTTACTTCCAATCGGTTAAAATTGGTCTTGCGCATGTGTTTGTTTTCAAATGGAACTGGAATCCGCTTGTCAATATCACTCGTTGGAAAATTTACATTTCCCAAGTTTTTCCCATTATGGGCACCGTGCAAGAGATGGCGCCACACAGTGAGTGATGCATCTGAAGAAAACATTTTTCTTTCCGATTCGAATGTGAATTTTGGTTTTTCAAAACATCTAAATTAAGGCGCATTAAAAATGATTTTGACAATGATATCTTTCCGGTTCACATCGATTTGATTCGAGAGAATTTGAAGGATGTGAAAATTGTGTTTCCAAACAAACTCCAAACGATTAAATCAGAAATTCATCGACAGTGTTGTATGTTAAATCATTCGAAATGCAATGTTTGTGTTGGAAAACGTCTCACAGGTAAATGACTAAAGCCAAGATTGGCGTCCATTTTAGAGCGAACCAAAGTGAAAAGCGAGGATCGAAATGGTTAAAAAAACTTAATCGACTGGCAAAAAGCGTATTTCAAAGTTTTTTTTTTGAACATTTGAAAGCATTTGTTGAACGATGAAGAACAACAACTGAGCTGAAATTTCGAAGGCAAACACAATTAAAATTCATTTTCCATTTCAGAACTCTTTCTCTCCTCTTTCACTTTCTCTATCTCATTCTCTTCTTCCTATCGGTGAGGTGAGAGAAGAGTTTGAGTCCAAAGTGGCAGCTGTACCGTTCGTAACAAGCACTGAAAAAAGTTTGTGTATAGTAACATATATATATATAATATATGGAATCCGTCAGAAATAACCCATAGAAAATTCATCGAAGGCGTACAAAAGAATGCAGTAATTTACTTACGCGGAGATAACCTTAACCGCCAAGAAAATAACTATTTACTACCACCCTATGACGAGAGGCGAGCTGAACTAAAACTTGATACTCTGGTTAGGAGAAGAGTCAACGCATCGATACTGTTCATCAAGAAAATAATATCCGGCCAAATGGATTCACCTACATTGAGGAGCAAATTGAATCTTAACACAGGCATTCGTACATTTCGTAACCCAGAATTCATCAGACTTAGGTGCTCATCAACAGAATATGGACTTAATGCCCCTCTAAACTATGCATGCCGGGCATTCAATTTTGCTGCACTATTTATTGACCCGACGTTACCGTTTTTCGAATTTAGAAAAAAGCTACTAAAGCTTCCCGATTCTGCATTTGGTGATCTAACAAGACTGAGAAGTAGTCAATGAGTTACAAAACTGATTATATTTGAAACTGATCGAATTTAACTATTTATTTCTATTTCTATTTCTATTTTTATTTTATCTATATTTCCAAGATATTTATTTACCTTTTGTGTAATGGAAACAATTATATTCTATTTTATATTGAACTGAAATGAACTGATCCATGCTAACTCAGCTGTTATGTAAAACTGTTTTTTCAAATGGAAAATTCTCTTTATACTGTAAAAACTTGTAAAAACTTTTGTGAACCTGAATCGTCAGCTTATTTGAGCAGACGCTAAAATGAATAAATAATAAATAATAATAATAATATAGCTGAAGAGGAATAGAAAAAAAACACGAATCATCACCAAACTATGTTACAAAACAGCATCAATATTTTCACTAAATCCCGCGTATAAATTCGATTGTGCTCTAATTGAAAAAGTTTTATTAAATATAACGGCAAAGCAAAAAGCGAGTGCTGTTGATGTCACCAGGTCTGTTGAACTTATGGCAGCAATTGAGAGAAAGAGAAACTTTATTGATTTTAATCGCATCAATCAGTGAGTTGCAAAACTATGGGTGAAAATATCGCAACGGAAAAAAGCAATTGATGGTCAAAAAAAGTGTAGTGAATGACGGTAGTTTATTTTTTCGTCGTCGTTGTTGTTGTTGTTTTGTTCAACGAAATCATAAACGAAAAAACGATTGGCGTTTGAGTAGTTGTAGCAGTGTAAAATTTGAGCTCTTGACATTGCTGCTCATTGTTCAACATGGATGGAATTCGTTGGGGACAATGCAAAATACTAGATGAAATGCTACGATAATAATTTCATTTGTATTTCATGTAACCTTTTGTGACACACCCGAAGCTCACATATAAACGCATGAAAATATCAAGTTTTACAGTTTCTTTCATACTCCGTTTTCATTCGGTTTGCAATACAGCAGTGACACGCGTGGTATAATTTTGAACTATTTTCATGACTTGTCAAATACTTCAGCATTCCAGTTTTACTACGCAAAAATTCACCACCTGCTTATTCATTTGTTTTGAGTAATAATTATCTCATACATATTTAATAATTTATTCTTTTGTTGCAACAAATACAAGCATTTTTCAGAACTAAAAATGAAACTATTGCAACAACTACTTGACCAATACTTGATCTTTCTTCCTATTTGTAGACATGAGTTTCTAATGAGAATACTGAAGCAGGCCTCCATTCTTCATACTGATTAACTGATAACTATTTTCACCTTAGTGTTTATGGTGAAAAGTATTTGCGAATTCTGCCGTATCTGTCATTGCATTTATTCGTTGGGGCTAGCGTAATGTCACAAACATTTCACTGTTTTCTCGACTATGTAAGGATTTTTGTTAATGCAATTGGGGTATGGTTTCTTTTTCCGTTAGATCTGATTTTAATGCAGTCGATAGTATTGTTGGGTGGAATTTTTTCCAGCTCAACAGAGAATGTAGTGTGTGCGAAATGAGAGATCTGTCAGTATAAGACCGTTTCGCATGACTCTTATTTACGAGTACAATCTTCCGTTCCGCACTCGTACAAGCGCTTCATAAATGAAAGAAAAACCTGTGCGACATCCACAAGGGTCTCGGTAAAATACCGATGTAAGTATTATGTGTTTTTCTCTTTAGAATGTATTCATTGCTTTGAACGAAAAAAAAGGCGACTGAAAATACGAAAATAAATCTCAACAAAAATAAAATGGTTTTTTTTTGTACGTTATAGACGCTCGACACTCATTCACTCGGAAAAGTACGCATTCAGCGGTGTGGCGCGCGCCTCGCTGACAATCGCGTACAAAAAATACACGGCGGGCCGCATGAACATTTCAAGATCTGGAGTCAATCCGAAACCATATTAAAATCATGTTTTCTCTCGACGAATTTGATGTTTTTACAATTTTTTTTCTCGTCGCTTTTAATATTCATCTGTTTTTTTGTCGTTTCTTTCATTCATGCCGGTTTTTCCCACAGCGACGCCTTTTGGCTCAATCTTAATGCATACAAACAAATTAAACGAATAATAAAACACAGCATTTTTTTCCCTTCTGCTAACGAAAAACATCTTTACTTAATTGATGGCAGAATGAGGAACTGTCGACGGATATAGTTTTCAACGTTTAAATGGACTCAAGTTTCTTTGCCACACATTCATCGTTGTCGTCCCCGCACATCGTCAGCATGAAAAATGCTAATGGAAATGAGATCACACAACATTAAAATACTTTTTCGGATGATGTGATAACCGATTTTCAAACTCCGCCATGAATTTCACAATCCAAAGCATGGCTTCCAAGCAATTGCTTTCCAATAATTTTGAATGGTTGAAATTTGCTGCGCCAAATGAGATTGTTATTTTTGTCGAGAAAATAAAAATTCAGTTTTGCTGCACAACACATTTTAAATATCATTGCAACTATGGATGCGGATGCAAAACTCTACGTAAATTCGTCGTATACACATAGTGCCAGTGAATAGTTGCCCATAGTGATGTAATGTCACGTTCAATAGAACAAACGTTTATGCTGATGAGCACGTTTGAGTGTGTATTCGTTGTCATTAAAAACGAATCTTTTCGCAATGCATTGAAAATGTTATTTTTAAAAATGGATTCTCTGAGATTTGTTTACAAAAACTCTTGAAATTCATTTGGCTTTCTCGTCCCATCGCTTTTTTTCTCTTTTATTTTCCTTTCTCTCGCCTATCATTCGTGTGTCAATGAATGACGAGAGAAGAGCCGAAGCACATACAAATGAACGGCACGGCATAATACACATTGATCTTTTTGAGAAGATACACTTTTCCCCCCCTCGATGGGCACACGTACGTCGTGTATGTGTCGCATCTGGTGTCAACGTATTCAACTTTTCGACGAAGATCTCCCGATTTTTCATCAAACAAATCCAACATTGTAAGCAGTTGATGAGCAGTCCGCCGCACGATCGGTCTATATTCCGTATCATTTTTTTCTTCGTTTCGTTCTCATCGTTTTCATACAAATCACACTCGATTTTCCTGATGTATATATTAAACATAGCAGGCGACGATCAATCTTTATTTCATATTGAATCGAATTTTTATCGTGTTGCAAATTGTATTCCACAACACAGACAGTGTGTTTTATATGGGATCAAATGACGATATCTTCATTGAAAAATTTAGTGCAAAGAAAATTCTCGAAAACTGACGGAAATAGTTGAAACGCAAAAAGTGAAATTAATGAAAAACAAAATCGACGTTATTATCCTTGAGCTCATTCATGTGGATGGTTTACGAAACAATCTGTAAATGATCAATAATTAAGTGCTTGGATGTGTTGTAAACAGGATTCGTGCTCCAATTGGATTATTTTCGGTTATATTCTTGGTAATTACATATTTGAGTTAATATAATTATCATTGTTGTCGAGAATCTAAAACAAGAACCATACAGAATGGGAACAATAAATTATCCAACCATTATCCAATATGAACATCATATTTTCGACGAATGCACAATCATTTGCTCGGTGAATTGTACATTTAAAATTTTTATATCAATTGAATGGAAACTCATCGAAATAATCTCAATTGAGACTTGAAAATCTAAATCGGCCTCAGAGAGCCAGCAATACAACTAATATTAAAGCGTAATAATTAAAGAAAAAATTGTATGCATAACACTGCTTGTGTTGCACAAAATGATTTATGACCAGGGCTGAATGCGAATAAATTCAAGATGTACTGTACAACATATTCAACTTGAACACAACGGAATTTAACAGATAATGTATTTATTGGCTCATGACGATGAATCGGTAAACATAAGTAAAATATTGCATAACTTGAATCCTGATTTAATGATGCGATGCGTACAAAACGATGAGCAAAACGAACTCACTCAGTATTCACCTCAATTATTGAAACTAGATATAGAGTGTATGTTATATTCAAGTTGTGTAAAATGCATTTCGTTTTTATCGAAGAACCGAGAGCATCATCGGTTAATAGAGCAGATGGAAGAGGAAACCGCATCCTGGCAACACGTAAACACATACAACAACGACCATGTTCTGTTTGTTTCAATCGATTGAACATTTTGTGCAAAATGCACATTGCAAAATACTTGAGCGTTGAAATTTATCTCTATCCTCTTAGCCGACGAATAAAATGAAAACCGCTTTCATGAAGGAGATTAAACAAGGCAAGGCGCGCGCGAGAGCGAGAGAGAGAGATAGAGAGAGAGTGAGAAAGAGAAAACGATGAGAGAAAAAGAAGAAGACGCTACGAGAAGAGAACTAATGACGGAACATTTCTAACAGGAATTAGTTGGCCAGATTTTTCATTTAAGCCATTCGAAAATGGCTGGAAGAAAAACGCACTAAGGAAGAGCGCAAGATAAAATTGCGGAATAAATAAATGTGCACAGCACGCGATTATGTTCATTGCACTTGTACAACATCTTTTGCGCCATACGATTACAATATGATTGGAGCCGAAAGATTGTAAATATTAATGCTGTTCCGTGCGATGCAATTTAAGCAAATGAAAATACGATACACTTTAGTCTCACTCTCATATCGTCATGCAGTGGCGAATGCCTTTGCTCGATGTACTGAGTGTGTGTGTGCACAGCCCCTCATTCCAAACGCACGCCACATTCTCAACATCAACAACAAAAATAATAATTAAACGGAAAAAACGAATGCATTGACACGAGCACACAACACATATACATGCACAAACCGTTTGTAGCGGAGTCACTATAATGTATCGCGTGCACACATTAATTAGCTGTATCAAGCAATCTCGGTTTGCTTTTCCATCGTAAATCTTGCAACTCTTAAACTTATTTTGTAGTGCAAGATGTGAAAAATGCCAACCGTGCATCGAAGATCTAGATTCACAAGTTCTCGGCACAAGGATTTAAAATTATAAACAACGCCACATAATCGAAAAGCTTCTATTCGGAGGAGTGTTTGTATTCTACATGAAAATGCTTGGATTATTTTATCCATTTCAGGTCGATGCTAAATTTGAACTCATAAAAGCCGCACAATTTGCCAATCGAAGCAAGAACAAAAGAACACCACACACATTTCAAAGATTTTTTTCCGATTCACGTTTTTTCCAATCCATACGATAGAATGTGAAAATTTCACAAACTCATTCTTAAACACAAAAAAACAACCGAGTGTGTTTTTTTCACGAGAGGCTAAAATTAAAAGCAACGATGCCACTTAATATACATATTTTAACATATTTGAATACTTCTATGAAAGTGTCGAAAAAAAGAAAAACATTTTTCGTGTAGAAACGTTGAGGTTTTTTTCTGCTTCTTCGCTATGCTATATTTAGATTGCAATACACCGTTAACGGTTTTTTTTGCGTATATCCGTGCATATGTGTCACCGCATCAATTCAACGAATATACGACGAAAGAGTCACAAACATTTCACATTCAGACACACATACAAAACAAATGCGAAAGCAAGCAAATGATAAAGAAAAACGTAAAAAATGAAACACACAGCTGAAGAAGTCGAAGAAGAAACGAACATAATCATAATAAATGAGCAATATCCCGTTTCTTCATCGGTTTGAATGTAAAGATTATGTGTGTGGCTTCGAAAGTGCCATGAATAACGGTAAGGTTTTGCGGTCGCCGCCGTGTAGCTTGAGCTCACCACAATCCGAGATGACAACTATTCTCTCTCTCTGTCTCCCTCTCTTTCTCTCTTATTCTCTTCCACACTGTGTTGTACACACATGTGACGACAATTTTCATGTTGTGCGCGCTCCTGTTGCAGAATTAATGCCATTTTCCATTTGAATTCATCGAAAGGTTTTTCGCAAGAATTTGTTGTTTTGCTTTTACTCTCAATTTTTAATCTTTTGTGCAAGCATTAGAGAGCCAAATATAGGATTTTCTACACACAAAAAAAGCCAGTCACAGATTTACACAAATTGTAAATGAGCACAATTACAAGCGAAATGTCAAAGAAGAGAGATATAATTAGGCAAGAACGTATCGGGGCATATGCTCTAATAAATGACGGTAATGAAGAGTCAAGAGTCGCAGCAAAATGAAAATCCGTGTGTACTGAACGAGATGTTGCATATCGAGAACGAAACGAAACAAAATGCAAAAGGCATCGAATCGTCATTTAAAATCTATTTTTATATTTACGCATTTACAACCAAACAAACATGATATTCATATAAATAAGACGAAAAAAGTGCGTTTGCATTTATGGATTTTTTGTTGTTGTTCCTTTTTCCATTTGTCATAAACGTGTACGTGCGTCGAGTGCATCTGTTCGATGCAATTCATCCATTCCAGATATCCAGATGACACAAACGATTTCGATCTCAAAATATACACACACACACTCCGTGATACGAATCAACTAAGGGGAAAAAAGTATACGCACTGATCAAAAAGAAAATTCAGAACACATTTCGTTCGGGTTTTTTTTTATTCGCTTATTATTCCCTCCATCCGATTTATCACTTTACACGGCATAAACATGTTAAATGCGCCTTACCATAATACCCAGAACGATCTTAAACATTCCTAAATGAAAATCAAATTAGACTGTTTAGTTGGAATTATATAGTCTCATAAAACGTTTATCATTTATGAAAGACCAGACCGATTAAAGGAAACGAAGACGTTTTTATGTTCAGAAATGGTTGTTTCATTTTTTTAAAAAAGCGAGAAAGAAAAAAGAACAAAGTAATTTAATATCGCTAAATAAAAGGATACAAGTTTATTCTAACCCGTTTGTCTTCTTTTCACAGAATACTACAGTCGCTTCAAAGAGTTCAGTGGAAGGAGATTTTGCAACTGGATTTGCGTCCAAAAAGTGGCGACCAAAATTGGCTTTCAACGCGCTTGTATCAATGTCACAATGTGAATCCATCTTGTGTTTTATTTTTAGAGAGCAAAAAATAAGCGAAATGCCCAAGTGAATAACTGGAATTCCTGTGAAAAAATAGCGATTACAAAAATAAACGAATGCGAAAGAAAAGAAAATCACAAAACCGTGACTAAGCATTTAAGCAAGCGAACGAGTTAGCAAGTAACAATCCATTTGCATATATGTGTGTAAACAGTCATCAATATATTTGTTTTGTCATCTGCGTTGCTGTTCTGAAGAGTTGGTAAATTGAGAAGAAAAAAATATCCGGAAGTTAAAAGTTATCGTCTTTATTGTGCACTGGAGAGACATCCGAAAAAGTATTCAAAGAATAGAGAAATGAGAAGGAAAATCGATGTCGAAATTCCAATGGTGAAAGTGAAAATATGTGACTGTCAAATAAATAAAGCTGATTCCCATAACACAAACGGAACTGTGTCAAAGGGAGAAAAGTGAATCACTTGAAAAGTATGTGAAGTACCATGTGGTTCATCGTATATGCGATTGTTAAACGGTTATTCTCTATCGAAACTGGGAAAACGTCAGAAAACTCTCCATTGAAGTGAATTATTCAGGAAAAGAAAGAGAAAAAAAAATTCTATTTGAAAAAAAAGAGTCGGTTTTAAAAGTGTCGTTGACGTTGTGAAGCGCGCGTGAGAGACTGTGTATCGCATTGAATTCAAAGTTCAGGCATTTTGCAAAACATAAAAGTGCTTGAGTGAGAGCTTCAGTTTTTGCCTTTGGTTTTTCCAACACCGCCCACAGATCAATCATTCGGTTTATACGTGTGTGTGTGTGTCGGTGTATGCATATTGCCTGGCGTTCTGTTGAGCCAATCAGCTGAAAAATCATGTGATAAATACGTGTGAAACTGAATAGAAACGTGTGTATAACTGCTACATGATAAATGAATTGTGCGGCAAGCAAAGTATATCTCATTTTGGGCTCTCAAGGGAAACATCCGATATAATTAACGATGTATTGTGTGAATATAGAGCCAGTGCATGTGTCGTTGTGACGACCGAACAAATATGCTTCGACTGAATGTGTCTAAGACAAGCTACAGAAGCAGAAGCAGAAGAAGAAGAGGCAACGGAAACCACATCAATATGATATCGTTGAAAGGAATTTGTTTATTCATGGTGATTATATCGAGCTGTTCGCTGTATGCGAATGGCAAAAATGTGAACAATTTAAAAGTGACGGATTTACCGAACGAGGTCAAAGCGAATCCGTATGAAGTGCGAAAAACAAGAGGCACAAGTGACAATGAATATTACGATGATGAATTTGTGATGGAAGATATGAGCCTGGTGCAACAGGATCAACCGTCATTTATGCGTCAACCATTTGATCGTCTGTATGGTCAAATGCAACGAGAGCCACCGGCACAAGAGAAATTCGAACAAAAACGACGAACGGGTAATGGACAGCTACCGAACGTGCAATTCACTCGCGAAGTGCAAATTAAACAGGGCCGACTCAAGGGGTTGGTACGCGCAATGCATCCACAAACGGGTCTGAAAAATGTACGACAATATTTAGGCATTCCATATGCAGCCGCTCCAATCGGAAATGGCCGATTTATGCCACCAGGTTTGTTACCATTTTAAAACAATTCAATTCCAAATTCCACTCCCACCCCATGTTCCCCCCCCCCTCTCTCTCTCTCACTCGGCATGCAAACGTAAACGACCATTTTACGTGCCAACAACAAACAAATTAGTAAACACTTTTTGCATTAGGTCGCCAAACGGAAACATAACTATTTTTACTACTATTGATTGGAATGTAGTTCAGCGTTGTTGGTTTCTATTTATTTCCACTCTACGGCGGCAAATGCACGGGCAACATTTCTAGAATGCCCGGTTACGAGTGCATCAAACGGTGAAAAATAGATGTGACCGATGAAACATGCAAAGCGAAAGAAGAAAAAAATAAACAATCACACACCAAACAACAGCATATCTCGAACTGAGTTCGCTCTCTGATGACTATGTGCAAGCAGAAGCCCATAGTATGTGAAATGCGTTTATCAAATGAGACCTTTTGTTTTTCCCATGATTGGAATTCGGGCTCTGTTATAAATACGAGCGATATTTTTATCGATTGGTCGCCTCAATCGACAGCTGATGAAATGTGAGCTACGTTGAACATTGCGCTCGTTGTTGGTTTGTTTTCGACTCGCGTGCATATTTTCCAACGCTGCTGCATAAATAGTCACACAGCGTTGAACGACGAAAGCTTCAATAGAATTTCGATTTTTTTCTGTTTCGTTTGTTAAACAGTGTACACTGTACACACCGTACACACACGTTCACCAGCGAACAGTGAACGTCGTACTTAATTACCGTTCTGGATGAGTTGCAAAAGAGTTGCTTCTTCGCTTGAGATTCTATTTTTATAGCAATGTTCACACTTCGTAAACTGCTTATTACTTTTTCGTTTTGTGTTTTTTCCCTTTCTTTTACGAGAAAAAAAAACCCATCATGACTATAAATCATACATACAGCTTTCAAAAGTATATGAGACAAAGATGATAGTTAAGGTTATGAAATATTCAAGAAATTAATGACTTTAACGAGTTTTGACGCGTATTTTGATTGATCTTTGCGTTTTCTTGGAGAAATGAAAGCGTCAACCTTGTGCCGCTTCTTTTTTCGTTGTGAACTGATTTAATCTGATGTGGAATAAAAATACTCTTTGAGAAACCCTTTTGATTTTCGTGTTTTTCTTTCGTTTCCCCTAAAATTTTAATTCATTTCAGGTGCGCCTCCACCATGGAATGGCTTGAAAATGGCTGTTGAGCTATCTCCAGTTTGCCCACAAAATTTGCCATCGTTGAATAATAGCCAACAACATTTAACAACGGGCCGTTATAACCACTTGAAACGTTTAATGCGATACCTACAAAACGAAAGTGAAGACTGCTTATTTTTGAATTTATACGTGCCCGAATGGTGTAAGTATTATTTCGTTGTTGGTTTTTGGTGTGCGGAAACATCAAGCACAACAAATGTACCGGATGATGTGATAACTTTTCACATTTTTAGCGGGAATTGGCCCAAGACCTATATACCCGGTTATCGTGTTCGTCCACGGTGAGTCATACGAGTGGAATAGCGGAAACGCCTACGATGGTTCAATCCTTTCTAGCTACGGCCAAGTTATTGTGGTTACGTTAAATTATCGCTTGGGCATTTTGGGTAAGTTCATTCGAAGCATTTTATTAATAAATAACATTTAATAATGAAATAGAGAAATTAAAATTTATTAACTTACTTAACAGTTTGAACTAATTTTGTACCATTCAATTAAAAATTGAGGGGTATTAAGAAATTATTGTGCTGAAAAGGTAAAATTACAAAACAAAAATTAGCTACGAGAAACTTTGTAATATGAAATTTATTTAAATAGTTCATGTTGAAGCCACTGCAAGAAATACCATTTCTAAGTAATTTTAACTTTGAATCGAACAAGCGTTGATTCTATTACACACTGAGCAAATTGAGATGGCAGCAAATTATTACTCGCACAAAGCAAACGTATTTTACAACATGGATGCGCTTATCATGCATTATACGCATGCATTCCAATTTGTCTATCAAGCACAGACAAAATTACGCAGGTATGATCAAAGCAAGCAGCTTGTGTGTTGAAGATATTTCCAACGAAACTCAGAAGTAAATGTGTACTTATATCAACACATTTTTCTCCTCTCGTCAGTAGTGTTGTTTACATAGTTGCCTGAACTTTTCATAAGCATGCATTCATTTTGGAAAATTAATTGCATAAGCCATACGGTTGATCTCTGCAGAAAATTGGTTCAAGCCATTTTCCGCCCGATTGTTTTTCAATCAATCTTAATTGGCACACCGAGCACGGTTGAAAACGGTTAAAAACGGAAATATCGACACATCAGCGAACGAGATAAATGAAACTCAACGAATTTTTGACAGTGCAAAGTTCTAATTGGAATAAATTGATGCAAACTGCAAACTTTACCGATTTCCTTTCCGCCTTTTCGCACTGTGTTCAATTTATTTTGTGTGTTGACGACAGCTTATAGACAATTTATAGATGCATATTCCAATTTCGGCGCAGCACACATATTGGTTGAGAGGAAACATAATTTCATCAGGCATGTAGTGTTTCAACTAAATAAATGGACATCATTCGAATCATTATTCAATGAAATTCAATGATTAAATCGCATTTTATAAAATCCTCTAATGAGTTTTCAATGTAATAACAAATATGCAAACCATAAAAATAACCCCACGAGCGGAAAAATCAACACATCAGACACAAATTTCCGGTATGCAAATTGATATGGACATTAGAATAATAACGTTTGCATTTGACGTCAATCGGATATTTATACACCGAATATTGCTTTTGTTGCTTTTGAGAATTGAATACGGTTATATATAGATGAAAGGTCGATAATGTTCCATATAGAAAATAACAACATTTCAACTAAACATTTCCATTTATTCAATAGATTTAACCTTTCCAACTGCGCACCCAAATTCGATGAAACATGAACTATTTTCATATTTATGTTTTTGACTGGAATTGATCCATCTGAAACAGAATATGCAAACATTGTTGTTGAGAGTCAAATAAATATGGAGGTGAAAATTTTCGATTACATTTACCGAAATTCCTCTTGCGTGGCCACACTGATGCATAAAATTGTACCACAAGTGCAACAGATTTAATAATAAATGTGCACTTTGACTTGATTTACTTTTCATTCGTGTTTAATTACATTCAATCTATTCCGAAACTTGCAAACATAACAATTGTATGTTTGTATTTAGTAAATGCAGCGATATTTCATTTGGTTTTAAATGTTTGACATTGTTACTTTGAATTGAACAATAGAACACAATTAACACAAACGATTGAACTAAATGAACATTGATTCAACAAAATCAAAAATGAGTTAATGCAGTAAATCTGATAGAGGTTTGAATTTCAGTGAATTTATTTTTAGCTTTAGATGGTTGAGATGAGCAGCAAAATGATCAATGGGCATATATTATTTATATATAAATTGGCAATTAACTTATTTTCACAAGGGGGAAAGTACTGGATTTGTATAATTCAAGTAATGCGATCTAGTACAAAAATAATCCCAAATAATCCTTTGGAATTCTCCATAATTCTCAATAATGCTCAATAATGCTATGCATAATGCCAATAAACAAAAGTGAAATACGGTTATGGTTAGCTATTGGGTGTTGGTATTATGCATAGCAATATTGAGCATTATTGAGAATTATTGAGAATTCCGAAGGATTATTTGGGATTATTTTTGTACTAGATCGCATTACTTGAATTATACAAATCTAGTACTTTCCCCCTTGTATTTTCATGATGCAAAACTTTTCGGAATAATTTTCGAAAATGAATTTTCGAGCTGTTCTATTCTGCTTTCCGGCAACGATAAAAATGCCTTCCGTTATTCACACAAAACATGTAAGACACGCAATAAGTATCCGAGTATGAGTACAACTCATATTGTGAGTGAATGCATGTATTTTCCGGTGTTATGCGTTGTATATGCGGGAAGTGTCGGTTTAGAATTTACAGCTATTCAACTGGCATTTCTAAAATGGATAGGATGCAAAGATACGTTTCAACCCACCCAAAAATCGGTTTAAGCCGATTCATTTTCTGGGCAAGATTGATTTGTGGAAGAAAAGGCCAATATGGAAATGATGATTCAATGTTAGCTGAAACTAAAATCGACTTCAGAAGCGAGCATATCCGTTTGATTGAGTGTTCATGCGTGTGTTGATGCAAAATCATACAAATAATTTAATCATAAGTTTTCAATTGAAGCCACACTGAAAAGTTTGATTGAAATATCTACATCACGGATAAAGTTAGATATCAAACTTTGCATCTAAACTTTGGTGTGGGAAAACTTCGATTGGAAAAAGGGAACGTTTACACTGTACTTTGTGTGGAAAATTTATTTATTCGATGGAACTCTATTTATATCGTCTCTGGTATAGGTTTCCTACAACCGGGAACCACCGGCCACACGGCAAACAATTTCGGATTATTGGATCAAATAGCCGCCTTACAATGGGTGAAAGATAACATAGCGGCATTTGGTGGAGATGTTGGTAAATATTAATTAAACAAAACAAACTCATTTGTTTTCATCAGTTCAAATTCCATACAAAATTATCCAAAATCGATTGATTTATTTTCAACGGATACGACAAACGTAGTAGTTTCACTTTGTTGGGCTTTCATTTGACTCGATTGCTTCTTTATGTTAATTAAGGTTCAGTCACTTTAATGGGCACGGGCACTGGCAGTGCATGTATCAACCTTTTAATGTTATCACCAACTTGTGAAGGTAAACAATGACCGAATTGGTTGACCATGAATCGAATGCTAAATACATATCATTTTCATTAGGTTTATTTCATCGTGCTATTTTGATGTCTGGCTCAGCAATGTCCGATTGGGCTATATCCAATCATCCACAACAATCGACGATGCAAGTGCTACGAAGTCTTGACTGTCCGATGCGAGATGATAATGATGAAATGTTGACATGTTTACAAAAGAAACGGTATCAAGACATTTTGAAATCATCAGTGCACGTGTCATCGCCGGAATTCACAACCACTTTTGGTCCGGTTGTTGATAACTTTATCGTTCCGAATGACCCGCAGAAAATGATGCAGCACGGCCGATTCAAGCGGTTGGTGATTGATTAATGGTGATAGACTTTTCTGGGTGTTGACGTTTCCTATTCTGATTTTCGTTATAGATATGACCTCCTCTTCGGTGTTACTGAAACAGAGTCATACAACAGGATCAATGCAATCGAAATAAAGCAAGGATTGTCGGATCAGTGAGTGGATTTTGAAAAGGAGTTGATTGAAAATAAACATAGAATTGTTTTTTCAAAAGCGGTTCTGTTCTTGTTTATAATACAATTGATGATTTTTTTTCATACAAATAAAAACGTGACGATTTACAAACAAATAAATAATAGAATAATTTTCGTTCTCAGTGAACGTGATGATTATTTGCGGTTTTATATGCAGAATCAATTTGATCGAGTTGCAGACGTTGCAATGGATTTGGCTCTAAATACATACACATCTAATATTTGTACGAATCCAAGGAAACCGACCCGCGAAGAAAATCGTGATATTGTACTCGAAATTCTTTCAGATGTAAACACACTTCAAAATCACTTCCTCTTTACAGTCGTATTCAACAAAGGAATTTTCCTTTTTAATTTTCAGGCACGATACGTTGCACCATTGATACAAACCGGAAACTATCATTCAAAACTCAATCCACTAACATACATGTACTTGTTTAGTCATATCAGCAAAGCGGGCGATTATCCGAATGTAAGGCGAAAATAGTTTGATAAAATTCAAAGTTTGAATTTCTCATCATGAAATTTCCCTTTACAAATATTTCTAATGTGTTCATACAGCTTTCACAAAGCATATCCGGTGAGGAATTGCCATACGTATTTGGTGCTCCATTGGCATCAGCACGTCCATTTCCAACGAGTTATACGCCACAGGAGAGATTGTTGTCCGAAGAAATAATGGTGTATTGGACAAATTTTGCCAAAACTGGGTGAGTACAAATTGAATTGGTCACCACCAAACAATCGATCGAACCAAAATCCATTTCAAATTTACTAACTATTAATTATGTGGTGTATAGAAATCCAAAAGCGCCCGGTCGAGATCATTTTCTCAATATGGATCCATCGAATTGGGAACAATACGACATCGACTGGCCGCCATTTCAAGTCAACAATTCAAGTTATTTGAACATTGGCATACCACCCGTTGTTTCACGTAATTATCGTCAACAGTATATGAATTTCTGGAATAGCCTTTTGAGTGAGCAGTTGAATGTTGATGCGAAACCAGTGCAAGTGCCAACCGAACGCAATGGCCTTGAAAGTACATCATTTGTAAAACCATTGATACCGCATGTCAATTACTATTTGGACAAATCAACCGAAAATCCAATACGACAATTGCAATATTTATTGCATCACACCGGACTGAATCGTTCCGATATGTATGCGACACAGTCGACGGTTGAAACGCCACAGCAAACCGTATTCGACACTGTATTGGCATCACCCGAAAACACATTTGTGCTGGGCGATAACAAAATTATCGTGAAAGCTGATTCAACGTTGAATGTCTTAATCGCAATGGTAATTATTTTCCTGGTCATAAATGTGATAATTATCAGCATTTACTTGGTACGACGGAATTATTTCAAGAAAAACCTGAAACAAAAGCTTGACATTTTATCGTTGGACGGAACAACTGACGATGATTTGAAACGGTCCAATAAATTCAATGATGGTGACGAAAGTTTCATTTTGGATATTGTCCGACGAAAAAATGAATATGTTCCGGTGAAACGTTATCATTCGCCCATTAATGGTTTTCTATTGACACGACATTACAGCACAAGCACCGTTGATACGCATACAAAAGTTTCTGATTGGATTTCGCACGAAGTGAATCGGCAGAGTCCACATTTGCGCTCGAAATCACCCTCATTTTCATTCGGTACAACAAATCAATTCTTTGGCAAAAAGACAGACGATAATAACAGTGCTGATAGTGGTGCACATGGTGAACGACAGCCCATTGAACTGATGAAATCAAAATCATTTGAGTTGGATAGGAAGACGGAAATTGTTTGCCAGGAGTTAAACGATAGGGGGCCTATGTTTGACCGAGTCATTGCATCAAATGTAAACAATTCACCAGAGATATCGGCTTGTGTTCTACAAATCGACCATCGACACACAAACTCCGATCCAGTTGGCACGATGAAAACGGCATTTGCACAAAATCCAAATGAAAAAGTGACCAGTTTCATCGAAGACGTTGATATGAATGTCACATCACGCGATGAATGCGACGGAGCATCACATTTCCCATTGACACCAGAAGAAACGTTGAGAATTTATCAAATGCGAAACTATCCGAAAGTTTTGCCAAAATATCCAAATGTATCTAGCGAATATGTGTCCACATCTTCATTCAAACGACGATCAATGCCATCCTATCAACACATGTTAAATACGTATGCAAAATACCCGCCAGTGCCACCACCACGCACCTCATCAACGCTCGATCGAATGGCAATGATGCGTCTTTCGGATGGCAACAGAAGCGACCCGTTGCCATTGGTCCCAGTTATGGCACAACCAATTCCAGAAGCAGTCGAAGAGCCTGAAACAATAGCTATCGCAGCATTGCATGTCGGTCCACTTTTGCCTGGCAGTAAAGAAAATCTATACTCAACAGTAAATCGGAAAAAGTATAATCTCGACAACAAACAGCCATGCATCATTGCTGCAGCACAAATTGAAACACCGTCCGAACCAATCGTGCAATCACCGTCCACAGAATGTACGAAAGAGCCAAATAAACTCGACACTGCAAATTCACAACCAAAATCCATCATGAAACGACCATTCATACGACAAAACATGTTGGACGGCAACACAACAACAACACCAGCATCAGCATTACCAACAACTTCGAAAATTCCCATCCTAAGTAGATTAAGTGCGAGTGGGAAAAGTAGCAGTAGTTCAAGCAGTAATAGTGATAATAAGTCTAGTGATCCCAGCACCGACGATTCGGCAAAGGATTTAATTGCCGAATTGGATCGCTCGGCTGCCTCAATTACATCGTCAGTGGAAACATGCTCAAGTGCTGAAACTATTAAGCAAATATTTTGAAGCGCAAATAAAGGAGGAAAGGACGTAGATTATAAGCGAACGTAATTATAAAAATTTAAAATCAGTATCATACGTATTTAGGATAAACTCTTTGGTATCTGGGCTCAAGATGTTATGTTTTAATAATTTACTTGAATAACACACAGATTTTGGTAGATTCCGTTCTGTCGATAAATTTTCATTGCTCCTTTTTACCTCATGGAAAACCTATACCAGCAATTATTATTGGTAATGGTAAGTAAACACCAGCAAAACATAAGAGATTTGATTGAATTTATATGGTGCAAAAAACCATACGTGTGTGTGTGTGTATGTGTATATTTGTGGCTGAATAGTGTAGCGAATAAATGTGCAAAAACCTGTGCACAAATCAACGCCCGTAAACTTAAAATTGGAAAACTTTCTTTTTCAAGATTTATACTTTTAACTTTAATTATACACAATCCTCCACCACGTAAATACGTGTATACACACATTTCAACACCAAGTGCGGCACGATATTTTCCTGTTAGCATCGGTTTAGTGTTGCTATAGAACACGTTTTCGGTTGCTTATGTATTTAATCGACGTTTTTCGGGAATTGTTCAACACCAGATTATAGAAAAGAGTTCCTGTTAAGTCTGTGCACACGTTGCACCTGGTTTGAACTCTGTTTACGACACGCAAACCGATTCAAGCACATCGAATAACTTATTTATTAAATTTGCGACGAACTTCAACCGCTACGAAATAGAATATAATTGTCACATAATTCGAATGGTCGATGTTAACTCTCTGTGTGTTTCTCCCTCTCTATGTCTCTCTTGCTCTCTCGAATACATTCGCCATTGCATTTTTAATCTTTTGATTCTCGCCCAATTTTCAGCCGTCGATTATATCGAGAAAATCCTATCGATTGAAACTTTTCACCGAAATAAAATTAATTGTTCCGGTTTCGATCTTTATCAAGTCTGCCCAAATCGTTTGGGGCTTTTGCATTTAAAACACAACCGAAAAATGGTTATTTAACTATAGTTTTCAGTCGAAGTCGAATCGCCACGATCCGACTTCATATGCATATTTTTGTTGAAAGTTTAAAAGTTCACTCCGCTGAGAATTTACTGGTGCAGAAATTTTTAAATACGTACAGTCATGGAAATTTAACTAGGACCGACATTGAAATTTCAGTTTTTTCCCATTAATTCTGTTATTTTACAAAAAAATATTCATGAAATGATGTTTATGAGAATATTTGAAGTTTTTTTAAATGGACTAGACTATCAATTACATTATTTTCGGTAATGGATATCATTTATTGATGAAATTGCCCAAAAACTGCGGGAAAAATAATTAAGACCTTCCGAAAAATCGGAAAATTTATCATTTGTTTGACAAAATTCACTCCACCGATGGTCGTATTTAATTGAAATAAATTTTTTCCACATTACCATTTAATAGATTTCAAATTTCTTAACAAATTCGAAAAGTTACAGGCCAAACTATGATTCTTCCACGATTTTTCATACAAAAAATGCTATAAAGTTTAGTTTGGTCTGTAACTTTTCGAATTTGTTAAGAAATTTGAAATCTATTAAATGGTAATGTGGAAAAAATGTATTTCAATTAAATACGACCATCGGTGGAGTGAATTTTGTCAAACAAATGATAAATTTTCCGATTTTTCGAAAAATTTTGTCATTTTTTGTATGGAAGGTCTTAATTATTTTTCCCGCAGTTTTTGGGCAATTTCATCAATAAATGATATGTATTACCGAAAATAATGAAATTGATAGTCTAGACCATTTATAAAAACTTCAAATATTCTCATAAACATCATTTCATGAATATTTTTTTGTAAAATAACAGAATTAATGGGAAAATATTGAAATTTCAATGCCGGTCCTAATTAAATTTCCATGACTGTAAGTGGTAAGTATGATTATTATTATTCTTGCTAACCATGTTTCTCACTTTTACGCTTACTATACTTTCACCGAAAAATACTTGGATGAGTACACTTTGCATTTGTTTTGCTACCGAGCGAAATAATTCAATAATATTCTCCGTTTTGCATCAACTTTTCGATCCACGGAACAATGAATAATTTACGTTTTCAACTTAACCTTTTGCAGAGAAAAGTAATAAGTTTCGCAAAACTAAAGCATTGGATCGAAAGTAAAATGTGAATAGTTGATGTGCGGCTGGTGCATTTCTATTTATAACCAGTTACGTTTTTTTACCATTTGAATCTGCTTGAGTTTGAAATTCAGAATTTGTAGACGATTCGTTTTTCACTAGATGGTGACACCTCTGCTGCATTCAAACGAATGTTTATGTTTTGAGCGTTTGTGAAAAGTGTTTTGCAATACGGACAAAAAGACACATGGAATTATAGAAAGATTCACTTTTAACTTTTCTTATGCCGGTTTATTTGATGATTTATCGTCATTCATGAAATAATAAACCAAAAAAAATGCAATCAAATTTTCAAAATTCACATAGAAAACAAAAGTTTTCTGGATATTTTACATTTTTTACTGAATTTTCCTTTTTGGTAATTACCCCACTCTTTTCTATTTATTCTAAAAAATACATGAAATAGTTTCCCTCTTAAATATGTTTTGCTAACAAAATGCGAAAGAATTACAATTGCAGTCTTTGGTGAAATTCTATACTTGTATACTTATATCTTTGTGAAGATGATGTTTGAACTGATTGAAAATGAATGAAAAATGTTCTTTGAACGTTGATGTGCGCTCGGAAAATCACAGTACTTTGATTTTATAATCAGCTTGCATTTGATATCAGTCAGGAAAGACGAGTCTAAATTCCGAGTCCGTACTGAGACTATCATCGTCATATTCAATTGGTTCCGGCTGTATACTGAGACGACGATTAACCGTGGTATACGAGTTATTTGTTCTGAAAATCTTTGAGGAGTTGTTGATCGGCTCTGGAAAGGTATTTGAAGGTCTCTTGTTCGCTCTGGGCGGTATCGTTTCTAAGCAACCCGAATCGCTATCGCTATCGATCACCACAATGTCTTCATCACTTTCATCGTTAACAAACACAACATCATCTTCAGGTGATTGGCTGTAAGAAATGTCAAATATTTTAAAATCTGTTCAGGCACAAAAGTATTGAACAATGTAAGATCCCTAAGCTGTATAACATTGAATCGAAATTCTTACTTCACATTATTTGAAGTTTCTGCTACCGGCACAACGTTGACTGGAGCATTCGAAATCGTCGCAACTTCTTCCGATTCTATCAATAGATCGTCCGATGACGAATTTGACTCGAGTGTGGACGTGTCGAGGAATGAACGATTTGGGCGATCTTTCGAATTTTTAGGATTTATATCACCTAAAGTTACATCAGGAAGAATACGCGCTGTTTTTGAGCCATTGACAATTTTGCAACCGTCATTAAGAATGCTGTCGGGAATGGTTGAACAAAAATTACCATAAAGTTCATCTTCCACAATCATCGGGTATACACGCTTCGGTTTGACGATATCAAATATTTCTGACAATAAGTATGTGGATGCATGCGATGAATATTCAACCTAGAAGATATTTTTGTGGTTTAGTTGAACGAATGATTGACTGTCTTGATGCAAAGTGAATGTCTTACAAAAAATAACCCATCAAAATTGGTATATGTTCGTTGGGTACTAGGTATCAATCGGATGTTGATAGTTTTTTTCTCTTCGAACAATCTGTAAAATTCAAAAGAATACAGTCAATGACAGATAGCTGAGCAAAGAAACTCAGTAAGCTGAGATTGAAACATTTTGACTTTATGACGTGTAGTCCATATCTATTGACTAGATCGAGAGGAGAGTAAGTTCATCTGAGTTTGTTATGAAAGAGAAGAGTAAGTTTCTTTCGACTCAAAAATGGTTAAAGGCGAGTATGTTCTTTTTTGGTGGGTCCTCGCGGTTTTCCACGGTTTCCGCGGAACTGATAAGAGATAATAACTTGGTGTCTTCGACAAAGTTGTAGCACTCGAAGTCTCCTATAACATTGCTGAAGTCAGTTATCTCTTATCTCTTATCAGTTCCGCGAAAAGCGCGAAAAATGATAAGAAAAAAAAGTTCTATATAAAATTTGCTTTTTTATGTGCGCGATTTGCGCGCAATCGATAAGAGATAAGAGATAGATGTCTTTAGCAATGTTATAGAAGACCTCGAGTGCTACAACTTTGCCCAAGACACCATGTTGTTATCTCCTATCAGTTGCGCGAAAACCGTGAAGACCTCAGAGGCTAGACGGTACTACAACATACTCTACTTTAACGCCAACAGAATCATCAGAAAACATACTCTCCTCTTTCAAAATATGTTAGAATTTTTTCACATACTCTCCTCTCGATCTAGTCAATAGATATAGGTTAAATACAAATCTTGAAATAAAATTAACAAATAAGTTCCATAAATTTGACAAAAATTAAAAATAAATTTAACAAAACTTGCAATAAAATTAACATTTCTTTCAATAAAGTTGCCACATTGAGAAATTAATTTTGACACAAATGGCAATAAAATTGCCAAAATAGGAAATTAACTTTGACAAAACGGGCATAAAAATAACATATTTTGCAATAATTCTGACCAATATTCGTTGGATATTGTTATTTTAAATGTCCCAATCTCAGCTTACTGAGTTTCTATGCTCAGCATATATAGCTATCTGTCATTGACTGAAAGAATTTTGAATCATTTACTTTGTTATAATCGTACTTTTGATAAAAATTATACCTTTTGTATGTGTCCAAATCGAAAATTTTGGCACTTCTAACATAAACCTTGGGACGATCTTTGAATTGAAAATTTGCGTTGATATTTTTCCCGCGTGAAATAAATAATTTGGCATCAAGTTCAAATAAATCTTTGTACTGAGTGCGATAGAAGAAAGTTTGTTGTAACTCTGAAAGTTTGACATTGAGGCGGTGTCGACGAGCTAAATTGACCAGCAAATCTAATGAATCAAACATTCCGGTTTGTAGATGAATGATGTAATCGGGATATTTTCTAAACCATAAAAATAAATTTGTCAATTGATTTTGAAATGGACAACAATATTCAATTTAAATTGAAACCTACTCAATGATTTCCTTTATATCATCACATGCTCGATTATCCTGAGCTATATCAAAGTGCAACGAACCGGCCATTGTGTTATCAATATAAATATCGTGGATTTTTCTTTTGTACTTCAATAGCATGTCGGATAGCAAAACTGTGCGACAGTCTTTAAACGCACCAGTATACATAATGAGCTCATCGGGTTTATCTAAATTAGAAGGAAAAAAATCAAATTATCAACGGTAATAATGTTGAACGACCAATATACTTATATGAACTCAAAAAAAATCCAAGTGACCTTGTACCTAATGTAAATATCAAAAGCATCACCGAACCACTGACACTTTCAGTTGGCAGGCAGGCAATGGCAAACGGCGTATCCAGACCATCGATCGTTGATTTCTCAAATTTCATCCATTGATTTGGCCCCTCTGGCAGCAGCCGAAATAGTTCCAATGGCAATTTCTTTAAAAAAAAATCAAATTTTCAGAAGTAAATTCAAAGAAAACATACCGAGATTTCTCAATGCTCATAGCCAGCTTGATAATAGTCAGTCTGATCATAGACTTTGTTTACCTTTGAAAATGAGGCCATGAAAAAAGTTGTTACTTCTGTGCAAAATAACAACGTTTTTCCCACCGATTTAGAAAGATCTGGAACTGGATGCTGGGGCTGGGTGAAAATGCATACTTTTGTACTCTGTAATAGAAACGTAGAAATGTGTTCTTTGAATAATAATAAACATTGCTTTGTAAACGAAAATGTGTTTGTTTACTGATTTGATGCACAACGATACGACTTACATCATCCGATGGAAATTCGTCAAATAAAACTTGCGGCAGTGTCGGAATTTTCATTTTTAAAAGATAATTATGTATTTCAACATGCAAATTTGTTGATTTTTTTTATGAAACTTATTTTCCCCTTCTCAACCAGAAATATACCGAATGAGAACAATCAAAGTGAGGCGAAAGACGTTTCGCTGCCGATTCGAATTTAGTTTGATGTCAACTGTCAATTCAATAAACTTCTTTTGCGTACTGTTGTGTGGCGCTTTTGTTCAAGAAGAGATTTTTCAAAATTGCGTATTCTACGATTTTCTTCGAATTGAATTCAGTATTTTCTACTCTTAAAATTGATATAAATTTTTCAATGAAACATCGAACCGTTATTGAAAATTATACCAATAATGAGGATATCACTTTAAAAAAAAGAAGATTAGAAATCAAACGAAATGTTAGCATCTGAAAAAGGCTCACATTGAAACGTTCAAAACTGATTTGTCAAAGCTATTCGGTGGCTCCATCTGCGATGGCAGTTGAACGTTGACGATAAATCATGTCGACTGCATTGGTATTGCACGCATACAGCGACGTGGGCGCAATACCATTACACATTCGATTCATGTCGAATGGAATAGTTTGCGTAGCTGAACTAAGACGACAGTCATATTTTTCCTCTCTATCATACGAGTAGCACAATTACTTGTGTGTGCTTGGTGCGTTCGCATTGCAATCGAATCGAGTATTTTTCCAAAATAAAAAGAAAAAAAAATCCGAAAAAAACCCAACAGAAGAACCACAGAATTAGTTATTTTATTTTGTCATAACGATATTTAGTGAGTGTGTGAAACGATGGCGAGTCCTGGGATTACGGATAATAAATCAATAATTAAACAGCAAAATTCGATGGGTAAGTGTTCCCACCAGACGGAGATGGTGTGTGACAACCAGAAATGCGACAGAGAAGAGAGAAAACTTGGTTATAGCATTTATTTTTGTGCGAATCGATTCGCTGCAATCGCAACATGGGATCTTGAAGTGACGAAATGAAAATATAAATGCTTTCCATAATTTCAAATTTCGATTCAGAAAAAATCGATGTTCTTATGGATTACAAGAAAATGCTACGCCAACGAAAAGAGAGAAAGAGAGAGACAGAGAGAGAAAAAAAATGAACTCATACAAATGAATTGAAATGAGACAATGTGCAAAGTGCTATTGAACAGGCGAAATGTAAAAAAACACACACACCCAAAAATGACGTGTTAAAATTTTTGTTATTTTTTTTTGCTCAATTTCATGTGGTACATTTGCTGTGGTTTGCGTTTTATATGCGTCAACTTTTATGGCATTTCACACATTTGAAAAATCTTTTCCTAACTCGAACGCCTCTTTTTCCTCCAGTTCATTACTTAACATTAACAACCTTGACAATTAATATTGGTTCGGTTTATTGTTGTTGTTGTTGTTGCTCCTCGACTACAAGTACACTGTTCTGATTTCCATACACAAACAATAGCGTTTTGAATATTCTCAACTGGATAGAGAGACCACAGGCGTGACAGCAGGGGACATACACTAAATTAAAATGAAGTGCAATGAAAATTGAATAGAGAGAAAAATGCAAATTTTAAGCAATGAAACACGAAAAAAAACAAAGACTGACATTCGGCCAAAACAAATGCGAACAAAATGAACAGGAAAATTAACACAGAGAGAAATGTGTAGCAAATACACAGCGAAAGAGAGAAGAAATCTTTCGATTTAAAGTGGCATTGTGTAAGCGCTAGACGTACTGGAGATGTTTTGTGAATGTTTTGGTCAAGTGATTGTGTGTGTTCATCGAATGTTAGCAAAGTGATGTTGGTAACGGCGACAGCCAATGAAAAACAAAATAAAACACGACGAATGAAAAAAACAGTACCTAAAACTGAACGAGTAATGATGGCGAACAACAGAAAAGACGAAAGAAGAAAGAAAAACATGAGAAAAAGTCGCAACAAAAATTTCTGTTTTTGTCTTGTTGCGATACTTGACATCGTCGCGCAATGTAATATCTAGCAAGAGAGCAACAAAGCGAGGGAGAGAGAGGAATGTGGAAAAATTTTGAATGCTTTCGCGCATTTTGTTTCTGGTTTTTTCTATTTTGGTCGTTTTATTTCAACATTTCGGTTGTATTTTTTTTAAATATATGTGCTAGTCTTATTGCAAACGGAGAAGAAGGAGGAGAAAAAATAATGAAAAAGAAAACCGTCTGTGGTGGTTACGTGGTTTGTGTTTGGCATACAATTTTATTGCACCTGCAACTTCCAATTATTTGTCTATTTTACATATATTGAAATGGTTTTCCACTATGATAGCGCTTGTTTGCTCTCAACCCGACTCAGTCAGTCAGTCAGTCAGCACCAATGCTACTTACCTATGTGCACATGCCACGGTGTGCTGATACGGTCGACGACGACGGCAGCAGCAGCAGCGACGGTTGTGCGCAAAAAAACTGTGTTAAATGTGTGTTTTGATTACTTCTCCTCGTTTGTATCGAAACGGGGTCTCTTCTACGAATCGTGCGCGTCATTATTTAACGTTCATTTCATTCGGTACACACAGAATGATCAAATGATAATCGCTTCACCGATAAAATGAGAACATTTTAATCACTGCTTTCATTTCATTGTTCGCGCATTTTTCATTCAATTTGCGCGTAGAAAAAAAAAATCTCAATAGAAAAAAAAGAAAAGAGTAGCCGCGTGAAAACGGAATGATGCGACATTGTTGAGGTCATCGTTGAGTTTTTGTTGTAGTTGTATAACGTTCATATACGGGTGCGTGATTATGATTGTGAAAAATTGCAGCACTTTCTCAAGAGCTGTACACGGTGTGCACACTCATTACTGTGGCATTCGTCATCGACCCAACGAAATATTCCATTCTTGCTCACTCAATTCATTTTGACTACATAACAAAACGACGAGTTCTATCGAACAAACTCATTTTTGGTTGCTCGAAAACCGTTTCTCTTGTTTCCCTCCCGTTCGCCTCGTTCTCGGTGTGTCGGTTGAGAGAGCGAGTGCAACAAAAGAATAAGCACAAATTTGAATGCATACACATGTACGCTACTTCCTACGATTTTCATTCAAAAATCATCGCATACAAAGTGTGTGCAATGCAATGATCAAATGCGCTCGCTTTAAATGCGCACATACACACACACACACGCGCGCGCGAAGCCTCAAATAAAAGATAAACGTAGTAAATAATATCGACAAATTAAAATAAATTGCTTTGTTAACTGCACTTTTCTACTCTACCGTCTTATACACATATTTTGTTATTGTTGTTGCTGTGCATTACGACTGCACTTTGCTAATAGTTTTACTCGGTTCCTTATTTTTGTAACGCCTCTATCATGGCTTATAAGCTGCATGCGATTTAATTGAACATATTTATCGGAATCGTGATTTTGTTTGGCGATTGAAATTGTGCACCGATGCACAAATACAGAAGCATACGGATTCAAAGTTGAAAACTGAACATATTTTCTAAGCGTACAAAGTATGCGCCGTAACGTGAGGTTATTTCGATTTACATCAAGGAAACAGAGACTTGCACAGAAAAAGAATTACATTGCAATTTTTTTTTTCGTTCGTTTGCCGTTCAATAGAGTCGCTTAATATGTATCCAAAGTAGTTTTGCCACACAAACTCTTGGGAAATGTCTCTTGCGCGCTCTCTTTCTCTCTCTATCTTTTACTATATCTATCTCTCTCTCTCTTCAAAGGAATTCATACGCATTGCAGTCAAAAGCATTATCCCTCTTTTGAGCAATATAAATATTAGTCTTCGATGTGCCATTAAATGCGGGACGATTTCCGTCAATTGGTTTAGTTTCCTCCATCACAAAAGTATTTCGATGTAATTTACTCATTGCTCGAGTTTATCGAAGGGTCTGAATCATTTCACATTTTCTAAATGACTTCTGTGATTACATTCATTTCACGAGTCGTTTTCTGAGAATGAAAACGCCAGCAACATTACTCACAATGCCCAAATTTGGCTCATTCGAGTGATAACTTGGGAAACACTGACGTCTGAATTCTGAATCACAAAAATTTAGTACAGCACACGATTCACAGTGTGTGAAAGAAACGATCGAGACATACATTTGAAAATTTCAAAGTTCATACGTACAAATACGGAGATGCAGGCACATTATTTCATTCTTTCTCTTTATCATATAAATGCCGCATACGTACGATATATGGTAAGATCGAGAAGGGGCTTTGTAAAGTCAATTGTGTATGCGTCGGCGTGCATATATACTCATGAACATTTGAACATTGGTCAAAGAGACTGAGAAAGTGTGTGTGTGTGTTGGTTCGTCGTCAATGACTAACGGCCAACGTTCATACATTAGTTGTATGTATCGATCTAATCTAAATGGATCTATACAGTGCAAACATGAAATTGTCCATCGACTCACACAAGTGAGATGACCTTCTTCAATTGGATCATTTTTTCTCTCATTGTTTTGGCATGGAAAAATCATTCTCACCATGTCGCACAACAATAACCAGCCACAAACATTGATAATATCATTTTGCGCATAGTATACGTGGAATGCGAATCGAAAATGTGTGCAGAACTAGAGATTTGATAAAAATATCCGCACATTTGTACACATGCAAAGCAGCGCCATTGTCACTTGAGAATTGAGAATATACTACACATGGCCGAATATGCTTTTTTTTCTCTCTCACACAAAAGCGGTCATTTTGTCTGTAAAACGTAAAACGGTCACTTATATTTGCCAGCTCACTCGCTCGTTCGCTCGCTCTCTGTGCCCGCACTCACAAAACAACAAAACACACTAATAACAAAGTCGACCAAAAAAAAAACCACTACACAATTTATCGATTTTTGTTGCTTATTTTCGTATGATGTGACAAAGGATAAGCTGATATAATGTCGCTGCTTTCTGTAGCCTAGAGAGAAGCCGAATATGTATATATGTATTTGCTGTCTCTGTCGATCGTGTACGCGCCACACCGCAACCGTATGCTCTATCGACGCTATCATCAAATGCAATCGATTTTTTTTTATTGCGTGTCTTTCTCGAGTATATTCAACAAACGGTCGCGTTGTTGTTATTTTTCGGTGTATGTCGTTTATATACATATGCAGGGCATTTATGGCTTTCGCATCGAAATTAGTACAATAGTTCAGAATGAAAAAAAAAAAACAATCGAGAAAAATACCACCAACCCATATTTTTCCGTCCGTTTGGATCAACGATATTATCGTTATCGTAATCAGTCAGTGACTTTACATCAGAATTTACTCAGGAACAAATAGCCTTACGTTGGGAACAGAAAAAATTGGTTCTTTTTTTATGACTTTAATAGCATCAACGACGTTGATTCAACGTGTCAAAAATAAATTATGATTCATTTTATCGGATTCAAGCAACATATTTGCGTAGCTGAAAGAAAAAAAATTGGAAGTTTTATTGAAATTACGGTGTACGCTCGATCAGTACTCAGTGAGTACTACTGTTCACGTATTGTACTGATATTTTCGAGTGTTTCATTTACTTTTTTGCCAGTTGTTCGCGTGTTGCTACTAGGAAATGTCAACTCTTCTAGTTAAATGACGGCGCTTTTTGTGTATTGCGTGACAAAGTTCGTCAGTTCACATTCATTTATTCGAATCCGATTCATTACTATTCCACCGAAATGAACCGAATTTTCGAGAAAATTCGTAGGTAAAATAATGGAAAACAAGTGTCAAAAGTTCATGACAATGTTTCCGTTACTGCCGTCTGCGGCTCACATTTCACGAAACTACTGCTCGAGCTAAAGACAATTTATGAAATTCATCGCCATAAATTGGTCTGCGATTTTCCTATGATGGC